GTCTTTGCAGAAACTGATGGAGTATGAGGACTTCGGCAGCTTTTAAAATATCCTAACCAAACTACCTCTAATAGACATGGTTCACTCTGAGAACCTTAAAGGAATAGTTCTGCCAGTATGACTCTGTGTGACTTCAGTTAGTATGTTTATCACGAAACAAGCGATTTCTATGTAAATCATTCCTAAATCAGTTCATACATTAATTGTCCAATTGAATTTAATGCGAAAATATATGCGTGAAGTGTTTGTGTAAGATTTGTTCTGTTTGTGTTTCATTAAGGCAGTTGGGCACTGTAAATCTCCCAAAAGGATGATAAAGCTACCAGAAAAGTCCATATGGCTTGTCAGGTTTTTTTTCTTCTCTGAAGCCGTTCAAATACATTTGTGTGAGAAACAGGACAAAAAGAGAGGGTTTGGAACAACATGAGAACAAATGATGACAGAGTCTTTATTATTGAATGAACCACACTTATTTAAATTTACTAGCAATTACAGAGAATAAATAGTTTCCTGAAAGTATGTCCCCATTTTCTAAGTGTATTACTTTAATTCTTTGCCCTAATAGTGTTTTTTTTTTTTTTTTTTTAAGTTGTCAGCCACTGCCAGTATTTTTGATAATTTTCACAAAATTTTTATGGCTCCCAGAAAATAAACATTTTGTCGTATGAATATCTGAATATGTCAAAAGAAAGAACAGAGCCTCTGCTTATAAACAAACAAAAAACAAATGTTTTATTCTAGCTTCTTGCATACTGTTTCATCAACACTTAAGTATGGGTAGGTTTCATAAAAAAAAAAAAGAGAAAATCACGTTTTTGTCAAAGACTATGTCCGGATCAGATTCAGATCGATGATCAAAACATAGATGGAGTTGATCAATTCTATCAACACCCCCAAAGCTTACATGGTCCTAAAACACTTCCTGGATTGTAATTTCATTCTGTAACCTTAGGCAGTTTTGATTTATGTAATGATTAATGTTTGATGATCATGCCTCATGCCGTGCACCAGTGAAAACACAGAAAGCCGGAAAATTCTGTCAATGGCGGTAAAGTGTTGTCTCATAAATGATGGAAAATTCCATAAATGGTGGGGAAAGAGTTCAATGTAATTTAAATATGTTTATCTCACAAACACAAGCTGCATTTAGTTGCCTTTTTGCTGTATAAACAGACTTATCTGGTAGCTCCAAAACTGATTTTGGCCAGGATTCCTCTAACAGCATAACAGTCTAATAATGTACAACAAAAGAGAGAGAGCTTTTGTGATAACCAAGCAGATATTTATTCACCATATTAATTTATTGCTTGAGATTAAGGAAAAAGTAAAAAATGGGCAAAAAACTTACAATTATACACAAACTGACTGGCAGGTGCAACTTTCAGACTCCATTGACCTTCATCTCAACTCTCACAGAATTGCATGCGCAGAATAGTGGCATTCATAGGCAGTGGAAGATGCATCTGTGCTGCCTTCAAAAACAATCTGATGAAGGTATCTCGGTAGACAGGATGTGACATTGTTGCCTTCCTACCTCCATATACTCCCTGCGGTGGCAGCATTTTTCAGCTTTTGGGAGCAGCCTGAATTAATGTGTTAAAGTCTCCCCTATATAGTGCACTGCAAACTAGCAAAAGTCCCCAGTCTAAATCTTCACCCCTTTCTCTGTTTTGAAATTAAATGAAAAAATACAATTCATTTATTTGGGGAACAGAAAACAGGCAATGACATGTTTTTGTGTGTATAAAGGTAAAAATATGGAGAGCTGACCATGACCACTGGGCTGTCAGAAAATGGTTTCTGATTAAATTTAATAGCCAGAGAATGCCTTCCTCCGATACTACCCTGCCAGTTGTGTGTGCGTACAAAATTTTGAGCACTCAAGGTGGCTAAGCCGTAAATATGTGTTCACCAAGTGAGGTTAATTTCTTGTCCAGTGCAGGATAGAGATATGCAAGGCTGCCATCATAAATCTCATTCAAATACTTGCACAACATTTGCAGGTGGATCTTTCTGCCTCAGTAGGCAGCATTTTAAGGCATTGTAGGCATGCCTAAAATTTTTATGTAATCTTTTATAAGAAATTAATACTTTTTTTTCCAGCAAGTATTAAACTGATCAAAAGTGACAGTAAAAACATTTAGAATGTTACAAAAGATTTAATTTATTTCAAATAAATGCAACTTATTCATCAAATAATCCTGAAAATCAACATTTCAACATTGATGATAAAGTTTCTTGAGCACCAAATCATCATGTTAGAATGATTTCTAAGACAGGATCATGTGACACTGAAAACTGGACCAATGGCTTATTTAAAAAAAAATAATAATAATTTTAACAGAAAAAAAGCCTTTTTAAGCCTTTTACAGTATTTAACAATATTACATTTTTATGTTTATTAGACTATTGCATTGTTAGCTTAGCTGTATTGCAATCAGCTGTGAGTCAAAATAAAGAGTTCATAGTGCGGCAGCTCAGGTTGGAATATAGTCATAGCAGCGATCAAGGAAATACCAATATCACGTCACATATCTGTTTGCGTTGTATTAATGTGGAAGGAAATATTAGTACTGTGTTTGATGCATGAAAAGTGTCTCCACAGCCCTCCAAATTTGATTCTAATGTGTGTGCTTATGAAATAAAATGGCTTTTAGCTGTGCCCGGAATAATCTTGGGATTCTGGTTTAAGTCATTAAGTCACTCCAGGCGACTGTGGGTTTGTGATGATTAAAGGACAGTTGACTGCATCACACACACACGCGCGCACACACTTTTCACCTTCCATGGGTGTAATACATCATCCTAATGAACCTGTGTAGCCAGGGCAGGCAGTACTTGATTAATCCACAGTCATTAAATCCAGTCTGCCGAGGACATCAGGAGGGAAGAGCATCCAGAGCCCCTCAGCTCAACTCTCCATTAATCTACTGCATAACTGGCCTGAATACAACACCGATCAAAAAACACAGTACACAGTTCCCACACTTTTACTGTTAAACACTTTAGAGAGAATTCCGAAACTGAACCATCGTGTGTAAAACAAAATGAATTAATTATTAAAAATGGATGAAATGATAATAAATTAATAGGCAAGTTATAAAAATAGTTCAGTTTCTGAATGCTGGATGGCCAATACTGTGTTCCGGCCAAGATAAAATACACAAGATTGAGTCATCATTATTTTTAGATTGTTTTCCCAGAAGAAAGATATTGTACATTTTAAATATGTATATTTTCCAAAGGTTAATCATATTTTTATTAATAAATATTTTATTAAGTATAAAACATAAACAATTTTATTTAAGAAAGAAATGTTTTAATAAGAACGTGAAGCACATTCTCTTATGCTTTTATCAATTCTTGTGGAGAGACATTATGAATGTAAAAGATAAATTTGAGGGAATATGCCATATGCATAAAGCTTCAGGTAGTTCAGCTTTGACAGCTGAAAAACAAAAACAAAGTTAAAAGTTAAGACGGTGGGATAGACTGCAGTTTTGAGGCAGACATGTTGCATCTACCCTCTTCCAGGAAAGGGGTATTAACATGATATATCGTGAATCATTTTTTTTGCCACTGGCCAGACACAAAATTTCCACCCGCACATGCATTCCTAATAAAGCAGAAGATGAGCACAGATGGAGTTTTTATTTATTTGTTGTTATTTAAACGAAGCCCATCTCCCTCACTGCAAACACAAGGAGGTTAAAGGCGTGATCATCTAACCTGTCTTTTCTTTATTTTTTCCAATACTTTTCACGTTTTAATTTATATATTTTTCCATATTTAATATATTTATGTAACTTCATTTTAAATTACATTATTTATTTATTTTTTTACTTTTTTGTATTTATCTTAATGACATTTTCTGACTCCGAATTAAAAAGTACATTGTTTGCTGTAATGTCTGTATGCAAATATCTAGATAGGCTTTTTGTAATCCTCAGGCACATTGTTTGTTGTTGTTTTATTTCTCCTGATATGACCCCTTTAAATTAGTGTCTTTCCACACCTCCTAATTGATGATAAAACTCCATAAACTGGCATAGAAGTTTCAAGCCAGCCTCTAAACAGATTATCTTTACACACTTTCAATGTTAATAGGCCTGTTTGCTTTTTTTATTGTTTTTTTAAAAGGTCACTTAGTGCGAGCGGGTGTCTCTCTATATATTTGTTCAATAATGGCTTCATTTGAAAGTGTCTTAATAGTCATTTACTGTTGACAATAATTTGCCCTCAAGTTTATAAGCTGTCTTAATGGACATAAATGATTGTCATTAGGCAGGGGAATGTCTGATTGTGGCTAACGGGCAGCGGAGTGCAGAAGTGACCTCTTTTATGGTGCAGCGGGGGCTGGTGGAGCGTGTTTACTGATCCCTGGGGAGGGGGAACGTGTGTGTGTCGAAGTCATAGTTTATACATTAATTTGCGTATGCCGATGTCTATGAGAGGGTTTAGAGTTTGGCCCGTCCCCAGGAAGTGTTGATAAAACCGGCTGGCCGGAAAGCTTGTGTAAATGATTACATTCCAGTTTAGCCTTGTAAGGCTATTTTTACCTTCCCAGCCCTGTTCTGAACTCCACCTTCACTCTCTCTGCTTCTTACTGAACAGGAAAGACTGGTTTACGTGCAGTCAGAAAACCGGTTTCTTTGTCACTTTTGTCAGATAGGGCAGTGGGTGTTATCATAATTAGCTCAAACTGTTGGTTTTCTCCAAATTATCATGTTTATTGGTTTGTGTTTAATGTTGTATGCTTTAAAACATCTAAAATGTTCTGTGCACTGGGACATTCCATTTCCCAAAATTCCCTAGACTCATACCACAGAGGTTGTTCGGTAGCAGACTTCCTGTGTCTGTTTGTGTGTGTGTGTGTGTGTGTGTGTGTGTGTGTGTGTGTGTAGAGAACACAATTAGACTCTCTTGTCATGTGAAATTAATCCACAAATCCCAAACAATCTGAGCAAACTAAACTAACCAAGCCTGAAATTTCTCTGCAGAGCTTGGATGAGCTTGATGACGACGATGGAGAAGAGAAGGAGAGGAAGATGGAAGAAAGTCTTACACAGCACAACACGGTTCAGAACGAGGCAATGACCCCTGACCCCGGAGCGGCCTACTCGATACAGGTGAGAGAGTGTTTGTTAGTCATTTCAGAAGATAATCCTGCCTCTAAAGGGTGTAGAGTGCAGTCACTGTTCGGCCTTACAGAGGCAGTGTTGACCAAAGAAACAAACACAATCAAGTGACAAACAGAAAGCAGGGCAGTCAGCGTTCATGCTGCATCAAGCCACAATACATAGTAAGATAATAACTCTTGACATTAGACGTGATGGTGTTTTGTCTTTTATTTACCTTGTGCTATCACCTGTCTAGAGAGGAAATGTGACTCAGGATCACATCTGCATCATCTTTTTGACTTTTTTATTTTAGAGTTTTAAAGCAGAACTTTAGGGGTGAGCAAAGGTGTCAACAACATACCGAACAAGTTAACAAAAACTAAGAAAAGAGAAAATTGGCCGAGAAAAGAGACATAAAAGACAATAGCAATTGTGTAAAATACTTCCCTTGTCACACACACACACACACATATATATATATATATATATATATATATATATATATATATATATAAAGAAGTTAATACTGTTATTAAGAAAGGTTGCAATAAATGACAGGAAAGACTTTAATCAAATAAACCGGAAAAAATTGTATCATGGTTTCCCCCAAACAAAATTAAGCAGCACGAATGTTTTCAACATTGATGATAATAATTATTTCTTGAGCACCAAAATCAGCATTTTAGAATGCTGTGACACTGAAGACTAGAGTATAGGCTGGAGTAAATTCAGCGTTGCCACCACAATAATTATTACAGTTTTAATATATATTAAAATAGGAAATATTTGTAAATTATAATAATATTTCACAATATTTCTGTTTTTGTTTTTTTTGTTGATCAAATAAATGCATGCATATAATCACCCTCATGCTGTTCCAAATCTGTACGGCCAAACACAAAATAAGATGTTTTGAAGAATGTTCACGCTGCTCTTTTTTATACAATGTATCTATATAGTGACAGGGGCCTGATCAAAGTAAAGCAAGTAGAACTTCCAAATCTTGATGTCGAATGATAGCTTTGAGTGAGGAACAGACCAAACTTAATTATTCACTAAAAATCTTGCCAGCATTTGTCATCTTTAGTGGCTCACTGAAGGATGAGGATGGCTAAATGTCAATGTGCCATCAGTAGAGCTCTGGGAACATGATTACGTATTTTTCTGAATGATGCATCATTTTGTTGCATCTAATTTCCTCCTGTTGGGTGGTTGATTCCATGTAACTTCAGGTTGCTGAATGCATAAAGGACGCGATATCCGACAGTATAATCACATTGACATTGTGTGAGTGCATGTCATCTTGTATTACTTTTCCCTGGAATGGATCGCTACTGTATTATTCTGTGAGAATTTCAAACCTATTATTGCAAAATATAAAAGGACTTTTAGTGAGCAATTGTTTGCAACTAAAAGCATGGTGAAAAGTGCTTCTCTGAAAAGCCATTGAAATGTGCTTCAGTAAGATTGATAATTATGTTTAAATAAAGAAACCTATTACTGCCCGAGCCGTGAGAATGTGAGTGGTCACATGTGTTTCTGTTGATCCTGGTCATGTTCAGCAGTCCATGCCAACCCACAGTTCTCCAGATGTTGGCCTCTGTTGTATTGGACACAGCTCATTTTATATGTAGGTTATTACATAACGGTTAGTTCTAGTCCTCTAATTTCATTGGCCAAGAGTGATATACAATATATGCAATATATAATCAGAGCTAGGTAGTATCTGCTTACATGTTTTGAATTATGTAATCAAATTCCAAAAATCATGTACTCAAAATTAGAGTATGTTAATTTTATAATGCTCATAATCAGATTACAGTTAGCTACTTTTTTATGGATTACAGTATTACATATCGTTCCCACAATGGAGGTAATCATTCATAATGCATCGATTCTCCCTAATTCTTTTTTCTCTCTTAAATTCTCTTTCTCTTTTAATTTCATTTAAATTTGTGTCATAACATTTAGCTTTGACTATATAAAATACATTACCTAAAATGAGTAACCTAGATTACTGACTCGAGTTTTCATCATGTATTCTGTAATAAGTAATGAACTACAATTTGTAAGTAATCTACCCAGTTCTGTATACAATACGCTAGGGGTGTGACGAGACACTTATCCCACGAGACGAGACAAGACAAGAGACGAGACGAGATTTTTAGACTTTTTTAAAGAAATCCTCAATGATGAAATATATAGGGAAAAATAGTCTTTTATTCAACTGAAAAACACAAAATGCAAAAAATTTACGTGCATTTTGAAATCAACTTGTACTTTATGAAATTAAACTTCTGTATTAATTAATTATATGCAGCAATAAACAACATGTAAACTAGAGCTGCACGATTCTGGATAAATTGAGAATCATGTTTTTTATATATAAATTGGAGATCACGATTCTGAAGAAAAAAAAGATTAGAAACTAAACAAAATAACGTAATTTACTAGTGGTTCTGACAAAATGTTCATTGCTTAAGTCTTTTTAAAATATATATTCATTTGAACAAAGTCAGTGTCTCAATTCATAAAGACCTGTTTCACAATTGGAATATCCTGAATGAATGATTCAATGACAAATACTTTTTTTAAACGGGCAGTTGTCGCCACCTCCTGGCAGAAGAGGATAAGCGTTACAATACACACACGTGTTAAGATACTTTCATTTTGATCGCTACTGTTGAGAATAAGTGTTTATATCCAAACTATAATTTTTTTATCCCAATACTTATGTTATTTAAAATGTCTGTAACACAGAAATAATGATGTGTGGTTGAAAAGACTGTTTGTGTTGCTCCTTCTGGATCAGCAGCAGCATGAATGATTCATTAACATGGGCAGCGACGAAATGTGATTGTCAAGCTCCTGACACTCGTTATGTGCAACAGTCGTAATAGACATAGCTGAATCGTTGTCATTCAGGAATAAGATTGCGTGGGTGTCTGAATCGAGATCGCAATCTTTAAACGATTAATCGTGCAACTCTAATGTAAACACAGCAAATTGTTTTGCGAGGATATCGTCACGTTCTCGCGAGACCAGTCAGATCTTACGAGATCTCGTGCCATGAGATCTCGTCACATCCTTACAATACACTGTAAAAAAAAAGACCGTGAATTTAACGATAAAATACTGTAAAAATGCTACAGTAAAAACCTGTTAAATGGTTAATGGTAAATTCCCCTACTATATACAGTGAAAAACTGTATTGGACATTGCATGTAATTTTACGGTAGTATACCTGTAGCTTTTTTTTTTTTGGAAGTGAAAAAGACTGTATAATTTAGTGAATAACCGTAAATTGACATTCCCAGAATTTCAAATTTTATGTTTTTTTTGTTGAAATAACGGTTTCTTAATTTTTTCTTATCAGTTTTGTATATTAGGGTTGTGTGTTACACCTAATGTTGTTAAATGAATGTTTATTGCATTATTTTAGTTTCATGTGCGTTACCATGATGGTGTTTCGTGTTTGTGTGAATATACTGTGCACCTTCTATATATGTTATTATTTAAAAGGTGCTTGTGATGGGCTTTGGTTCATCATGTGACTTTCTCATCACCGTCTGCATTTGGTGGTTATCAGTGTATTACAAAGGTACAAAACAGATTTCAGTACTTCAATAGGTTGTTATATTAACATTATTTCAGTTAATGAAATTACGGTATTTAACTGTAAATTTAAGTTAAAACCGTAAAACCTAAAATGTTGCTATCGTATTTTTTATGGTAAAATTCCGGCAACCACAGCTGCAGTTTTTTTTTTTTACCATCAATTTTACAGAATTTTTTTTTTTTACAATGTATATATATATATACTCTTACTGACAGCACAAATAACCCAACACAAATCAAATCGTTGCACTGAAAAGTTTCTGCTTATTTCGCCATTTTATTTATCAAACTGATGGCAAAGCAATTTTTTACCAATATGGTATCAAAGTGTTAGGATACATGTAATTTAGATACTAGAAATGATCCATTACACATTTTTACTATGCGTTAATGTCAACATAGTGTGCTGCAGTGATTATGTATTTTTGTAAGCCAAACCAGAAGTTAGCCTCACCCTATTTTTCTCTGACAAAAAGCTGTGACCGACAAAAGTTTATGATTGTTACATGTTTGGCTCATTATGATCATTTTCACAAATGATCAGAACTTTTATGAATTTTGAAGCCTAAATACAATAACTAGAAGTAGGCCTAAAGCTAAACATAGGGTTTAAACAAACTACACCACAGTCAAATGACTTGAACTTCACCACCATAAAGTTTCTGACAGCTCTTTTGATATTTAGCCTATTTAAAAAACCTTTTCCCTGAAAGTTTGAGTTTGAATCCTTTGCAAGAGCATGATTTTGAACACAATGAGGATGTAAAAGTGGATTAGTGAATAGACGAGTTTACCTGCTCGGCATGATGATGATTAATGTCCCCGACAACCTCTGTAGTCCAATTTAGCTGTTTGTTAGCAACTAACTTTTTCAAGAGAAGTAAAAACATAAAAACAAAATAAGGTCTGTATGTATTAACCACAGACCCTATTTCCAGCATTTAAACAAAAACCCATTCAAAAAACCTTTTTGACTGTCGACTGTCAAGTCTTCCTCACTTTTGCGTAAATTTCCTCATTTTTTCATCTTCTCCCGTTATATTTAGTAACTGAACATAAAAACCTGATACAGAAACTTGCACTTTCTTTTTCTTACATGTATCTTATTCAAAAATCATCAAGTACATTACACTGGTTTCAGAGTGTTCCCTCATATTACGTGAGATGACAAATGTAACATTATGTCCTCAGTTTTTCTACACATCACGTTTAGCGCAGATGGCAGATTTACGCATCCTTGTCAGACACGTGAGCGTAGAGTGCCTCAAAAATGTGCTGCTGCATTTATCAATTGCTTGGAATGGCTTTTGTGGAATTCCACGCCATATTTCACTGCTCTCTTGACCTCCCACTGGACGTGGTCATAATCTACAAGCTTTCTACAATATTAA